GAGCAGAAGGGGGTGGGGGGCCTCACCTATGAGCCGGGAGCCTGCTGTTTTGCCAACACAGGCTTGAGGGATTCGGGTCAGGGCTTTGGGGTGCAGAAGGAACTTGCCTCATTGAATGTTTTTAGGAGCGCGCCACAGATGATGACCCGTCTCCCTGGTTGTGAGTACCAGGCTGTGGGAAGCAGCCTCTTCCGCTTTGGAAACCACATGCTTCCCACGCTCTGAGAGGTGGCCAGTCTGGGTAATGGTTTCATAAGGAGACAGCGAATGAAAGCCAGCCATTGGGGTGGGTGGCTTCAACCTAACGTTCATCTGTTCTTATAAAAGCCTGGGAGCCAAAAGTGCTTGGTCCACTAAAGAAAAAAAAATTGAATAATCTTTGTCTAAAATTTGGGTTGCTTTGGCCCCTTGAGAGCCGGCTCCCTGAGTACTTGTCATGGCTCGTTGGTTCCAGCAAAAGCAAGTGGGTTCCAGCGATCCAAGGAGGAAGGTGCAGTCAAGGAGCGCTGCAAATCGTGCCGGGCAAAGGACCAGCAGTGAGGACCGGGGACCGAGACGGATCACCAAGCCTCAATAATTCATGAGGGCCGGATTTTTCTTGATTTTGTTCCACGCACGTGGTGCCTGTAGACAGCGGCAGCTAGGATGGCCCTGTTCTCCTCAGACAGGATTTCTGTCCTCACATTTTATGACTGTTCATTTGTTAGTCAGTGATGAGGGAGATGTCATCAAAGAGATGGTTCACCTCGCTCCTCACTGGGAAATTTTGAAAGTCTTTAAAAAAAAAGGCCTTGTGAGTTCGGCAGTTATGAGTCAGGGTGATGACGAATGGGAATTGGGAAGGCAGAGCGGCTAGACGCCTTCACCTACCGCGGTTCTGGGCTCTGAAAGCAGCTTTTGAACATCGTTATAAAGATAGACACACCTACTCCTTCTTGCCAACTTATCAAGTGTCTCGTTATCTGACACTTTTCATTTCCTATTTATCGATCTATCTATTTAGTTCGAAACCCACATCTTTTTAACACATTAGCACAGTCCCTGCCCGCTTCTGCCCTTAGGCTCTGCTGGCTTTTGTTCACATGGATATGCATGTCTGTGTCTGTGTGTGTGTGCAGGTATACACATAGAATCATCGTGCCCCTGCTTGTTATCCACGGGATGCTTACATGCTAGCATTTCCCCGGTTTGCCGGCATCCACACGCTTCTCTGCGGTGACAGTGCTGCCACTGTCTTCTCCCAGCGTCAGGCAGCGTCCTGGGCTCGTTGATGTCTTTTATCAGGATTGGAGACCTTACTTGTTTTATTGTTGTTTGTCTTCACCAGTAGCGATAACATGATCGCCCCTGTACAGATTGCGTCCTGAGTCACAGTCTTGGGGTCTGTTTTCCAAGTGAATTGCATCGTTAAAGGCTATGAGAAGCTCTGTGTGTGTGTGTACGAGTGTGTGTGCGTGTGCGCTCTAGCACTTGATAAATATTACCATTGAATTCCAGATTGGGATCATTTATGGTATTACCAGCCGTGGGTAGGAATATTCATTGTCTGCAGCTCTGTCTCCTGCATTGCTATTGTGTTATTTCATCTCGTTGGTTAATAAAAGCTGGGGGGCTTCTTTCCTTTATTACTAGGGGCTGGCGCAGGACCGGGCAGGGTTTCCTTGTGCTGCATGGTTAAAATGAGTGTGAACTGACTCAGCGGCATGCAACAACAACATGACTAGAGAAATAAGTAGCTGCTTTAGAACAATACAGGCAAGCAAAGGTGGAAAAAAGGCTGGTGGGGGTGGGGGGCAAACAGTCTCCATCACAAAATCCTCCCAGTGTTTGCGTGTGTCCGATCATATTCTCTTACTATTTTTATTAAAGAGTGTTGGGCTAATTTACCTCCTAATGGATACTTGCGTACTATTAGTTTCTATCAGTGGAACCTGGTGGCATAATGGGTACGAGTTGAGCTGCTAACCGCAAGATCAGAGATTCGAACCAGCAGGCACCCATGGGAGAAAGATGGAGCAAAATCAGAGATTCGAACTAGCAGGCACCCATGGGAGAAAGATGGAGCAAGATCAGAGATTCGAACCAGCAGGCACCCGTGGGAGAAAGATGGAGTCTTCTGCTTCCATAGAGTTACAGTCTCAGAAACCCACGGGGGAAGTTCTGCCTTGTCCTGGAGGGTCTCCCTGAGTCAGACACGAACCCCCTGGTGGCGAGTTTGGGTTTGTTAGGAGCAAGGTTACTAGTGGTTGGTGGGAAAGGCATGGGTTTGGGTCTCCTGAAGCGGTGTGCACCAGAGTGCCGTTTATAGGTGTCCCTTTTCTTCATGTTCAGGCAGGGTGCAGAACCTTGCTAAATGGCGGGTCCTTAGTATCTCAAAAAAGTTCTACTTTGAAGAAAAAAAAATCCTCCTAGAACGTGCAAGTTTTAGGAATTGAGTAAAAGAAGTGGGAACTGAATAGCAGCCAAGGGGCCCTGGTGGTGCAGTGGGTTAAGCATTGCTAAGTGCAAGGGCAGCTGTTTGACCCCACCCGCCACTCCATGGGAGAAAGGTGAGGCGTCGACGTGGGGAATGACTGATGGGACGCTCTCCTATGTTGCACAAGGTCGCAGTGAATCACGGTCCACTCACGGCTGTGGGCTCCATCGTTGTTTTGGTTACCAGGTAGAGCCTGAGGCGGTTTAAAACTCAACGTGACCTTCCATTTCTCCCTTTTCTAATTTCAGGGAATGAACTTTATCGCAGGCTATCTGCTTCTCATAACAAAGAATGAAGAAGAATCCTTTTGGCTGCTAGATGCTCTTATTGGAAGGATATTACCCGGTATGTTGGAGATCCCTGCTGCATGCCTTACCTGTTCTGGGTCTGATGTGACTGACGTGAGTCCTGATTGCCGAGTCAAGATCAAAGGGAAACCTCTGGGAGTCGAGGTTTAAAATTGTTTTGCGCTTGAGTGAAAGAGAAGGAAAACACTGAGGTCGACTAGCCCCAGCCTGCACAGCTAGGCATTTCCGGGCCCACTGGTGTTGCCATCTTTCTCATTAGCGGTTGAGTGTGGCTGAGACCATCCGCTGGGCTCACCTGTCGCTCGGCCTGTGCTCTTTCATATTGAGACTGGTAGGGGCACATGGCACTTCCAATAAAGAGCCAGGTCACTCCAGATGACAGAATGGATGTGAGAGTCTCTTGGTTTCGCCGATCTGTTTGTTAGTACGTGCGTGAATACTGCTGAGGACGCAGTCATTCTCCGCTGGTTTTTACTGCTGTTTTAGGAGACCGTTGTTCTTTATGTGTAGCTCCTTAATTGGTGTCGTGCTAATAAGTAAATTTACCACCAACTGGTAGCAAAGCGAAATGTAGACTGTGGAAGATGATGCCAAATAATTTTAGAGCCCAAAGGTGGAAACAACCTAAATGCTCCTGAAAGAAGCCTGGGCAAACAAAACCGTCCTTACGGACAGCGGACCGACGTACATCCAGACCACTCAGCCCGTGGGAGCAATGAAGCCTTGGTAGAAGCGACAGTCTGGTGGGAGCTAGAAGACTTTGTACCGAGTGGAAGAAGTCCAAATACTGTATGATCTTGCTGGTATAAAAAAGATTGGAGCAGGCAAATGCAGAGAGATCGTATTTTATGAAAGTGTACCAGCAATGAAAAGGTTGGCAAAGTTCATGGTGATGGCACATCACACTGACTGAGAGTAAGGTTGCCCAACGATGGGGATCAGTAAGCTGTGTACAGCTATAAAAAGGTGTGTGGTAGGTATACTGAACAACAGCAGGGAGAGCAGCCACTGACGTACAAACCAAAATTCTTGGGCTTTGATTCCTTGGTTTGGAGATAGAGGGTTATGGTTTCATGGGGCATCCTACTGAATTGACCTGAGAACATACTTAGTGCTTCTGTTCTTCTTCCTAGATGGTTGTGTAGTGCCCAGGGCTTTAAACGCTTGCAGGCAGTCATCCAAGGCACACTCCACTAGGCACTGCCATTAACTCCATTCTGACTCATAGGAGCCAGACAGGGTGGAACCACCCCGGTGGGTTTCCTAGATCAACTGGACAGGAGTCGAAAGCCTCGTTTTTCTCCTGCGGAGCAGCTGGTGGTTTAAACTCCATAGGAGCCCTGGTGGCATAATGGTTACACATTGGACCTTCTGATTAGAAGCTCAACATATAACCACTATGGCCGCCAGGGATCTATAGGGACCCACTCTATAGGGCAGAGTAGAACTGCCCCTGTGGGTTTCTGAGGCAGTAGGTCTTTACTGGATCAGAAAGCCTCGTCTTTCTCCTGCAGAGCTGCTGGTGGTTTCAAACTGCTGACCTTGTAGTAAGCAGCCCAACGTGTAACCCACTACACTACCAGGGATCAGTAATGAGTCTGTTTGCCTCGAGCTGCAGAGGAAGAAGGAGAGTCAGGAAGAGGAGAAGGATGTGGAAGGTGTGGCTGGCTGGCTGGCTCCATGAGCAACTTCCTCCTCGACCATGAGAGCTGAAGAACCGGATAGCATCCGGCTGCCACGACCAGATAGTTGGATGATCAAAGATTTCATAGATGAATTTTGATGAAAAGGAGGGAAATGCAGGGCAAAATCTCAAATTCTCATGAAATCCAAACAATCTGGACCCAAGGGGGTTGGATGAACCCCTGAATTTATTGCCCTGAGGTCATCTTTAAACCTTCAGCCAAAATTATCCCCTGCAGCTTTCTTAACACTCAACAATAGTTTAGCTTACAGTCTGGGAAACCCGCAGAGCCACGTCTGCCCTATGGGGTCCCTGTCAGTCGGAATTGACTCGATGGCAGTGAGTTTGATTTTTCTAGAGAGTCAAAATAAAACAGCCACTTGAAAGATTCGATTGGAATCTTAGTGGGGCAGTCAATTTATAGTAAAGGGGTCGGATTGGCTCGGGAAAGGAGGGTGAGAGTGATCGACAATCTGAGGAAGGTCATCAGTGTCGCTAAATGGCACACACAGAAACTGTTGAATGGCCGTGTGTTTTGCTCGGTGTTCTCAAATAGGGCAACAGAAGAGAAAATCTTTACAAGACCACTTTAGGGAAAAAAAATTAACCAGTGCTCCCCCAGGGAAAGAGGACTTGTAAAGAAAGGCTACTTTGTCCTTGTGCTATCAGTTCAAGTGCACATCATGCTCAGCCGTAAGGACAAAAAGACTTGCAAATAGCAATATGAGGCCTGCGACGTGCGTGTATGGCGTGAGTGGGAAGACCTTGATGGCTGGTGGATGGGGAGGCTTTGCCTTCTCAGGAGCCTTAGATCACTGCTTTATTCTGGTGCTTTCCTCCCAGGCCTCCCCTTTCTCTCTTCCCTGAGTCAGGAAACTGTGCTGAGTAGCTCTGGACCCAACTACCACTGCAGTGCCCGGGCCCTTCTCCAAAGACCTGACTTCACCTCCGGGAAATGAGAGTATCTGTTAAAGAAAGGAGAAGGGTGTGCCTGTAGCTATCCACCAAAAAATACCAACAACAGCAAAAAAGGAAAAAAAAGAAAAGCATTCTGTTGTCTATTGAGTGGCTCTTGATTCATAGCTGTCTCTTACACAAAGTAGAACTGCCCCGTCGGCTCTCTGATTTGATCCCTCTGTAGATTCGGACGGCTGCCGCATGTTCGCAGGGCGCTGCTGGTGTGCTTAGACCCCTGGCCTTGGGGTTAGCAGCAGAGCCAAGTGCTGTGCCACCAGGGCTCATCCATAGCTACTTTGTAGCTGCCGGGTGCCATCCCCCAGTTGTGAAGCACAGCAGTCCCGCAGACAGCAGAAGGAAATCCCTGGCCATCCTCACACCTGTGACGTTTGAGTTCCTCGTGGCAGCCACCGGATCAATCCATCTCCGTGAGGATCTTCCTCTTTTTCCACTGACCCTCTGCTTTACCAAGCGTGACTTCTTCTTCTCCAAGGGATTGGTCCCTGCTGATAACATGCCCAGAGACTTGCCTTGCCATCCTTGCTTCTAAGAAGCTTTCTGGTGGTACTTCCAAAGCAGCCCTGTGCGTGCTTCTGGCACATTCTTCACTAACACCATCAGTCGGATGCCTCGATTCTTCTTCAGTCCTCCTTAGTCAGTGTGCGGCTCTCACCTGTCCATGAGACAGGTGAGGCTCCTGTGGCTCGGTTCGGGTCCACCTTTGTCTTCTTTTTAACACTTAAAGAGAGATGGGGCAGCCAATTTGACCAAGCAATGCACCATTTTATTTCTTGACTGCTGCTTCCATGGCATTGATTGTGATCTGAGTGAAGTGGCATCCCTAACAGCTTCAGTCTTTTATATATCGTGATCTGTAGCGTGATGTTGCTGATTAGGCCACATGTAAGGAATCGGGTTTCTATTGAGTCGTAATCCACAGTGAAGGCTTTAGTCTTGGCTCGTCATCAGTCATCTGGTAGTGCTTCCCGTCCGTCCCCTTTGCTCTCAGTGAGCAAGGGCGTGGAGGAAAGTTGTTAACGAGCCTTCCTTCTGTCCTTCTTGATGTAGTTTGGCTTCCTTGCCCAGTGTGTAAGATTATCTTCTCGCCATACAGATGGAGTAAGTAGGGTGACATTTAGCTACAGTTACTGCTTATTCGGCATTCTGCTTCTAGTTACATCCTAAACTTCATGTACTTACTCATTTAATCCTTGGAAAATTGTACCACACTCATTGTGTCAATTCTGACTCCCATTGACTGCATGGGACAGGGTAGAACGGCCTCTCTAGGTTTCCAAGACTGTAAATCTTTATAGGAGCAGAAAGTCTCATCTTTCTCCTGGGGAGTAGCTGACTACTGACCTTGTAACCCAACACATAACCCGCAATAACCAGGATTCCTTGGCAACTGTCCCACATGGACACAATTACTGAACCCATTTTACAGGTAAAGAGACCAAGGTCTAAGGAATGTGAGTGGGCTTTAGACCCATGGCTCTATGACTCTAAATCATAGATGACACGTGTGTGGGTCACTAAAGGCAAGCAGGCTCCGGATGGAGGGAAATCGGAAGTACTGCTCAAACTCCAGAGAGCCCTGGTGGTGTAGTGGGTTCCACTTGGGACTGCTCACCAGAGGTCAGCAGTTCAAAACCTCCAGCCACTGAAATTTCTATAAGTATTTACCCTGTTTAAGTGAGCATCCCATGTAGGAGAAAGAGGAGGCTTCCTGCACCTGTAAAGAGTTGCAGTCTTGGAAACCCAAAGGGGCAGTTCTGCTGTCTTCTGGGGTCACCGGGACTCAGAATGGGCTCGTGGCAGTGGGTTAGGCGGGCACCCATGCTTCAGTTCTAGCAGGAATAGAAAGCTGCGGGTGTCAAGCCCAGCCCGAGCGGAACGCTGCATGAGGGGGAAGAAAAGCTGCTCCGAGGGGTCTCCGACGCAAGAGAAGAGCTGTTAACAGTGACCTCCGAGCTGAGTGGCCCAGCGAAAGAGCATTTTATAAACATTCGTGTGGTATTTGTGGGCTTGAGGGATTGCCATGGGAAGATAATTCTCAGTATCTCAGATTAAACCTTTGTCGTGTTGTCAGGAGAGACCAGTCCCTGGAGGAGGACATCGTGCTTGGTAGAGTAGCGGGGCAGCAAAAAACAGGAAGGCCCTGGACAAGATGGATGGACGCAGTGGTTGCAGCAGAGGGCTCACACAGAAGAGCCCTGGGGAGGACGGCGCTGGACTAGGCAGGGGTTCACTCTGTTGTACGCGGGGTCGCTATGCATCGGAGCCGCTGGACGGTGCCTAATAAGAACAAGCGGAGAGGGCTGAACTAAAGTGACAGTGAAAAGGCAGGTGGCAGTTAAGAGACATTCCAAAGGAAATAGTGAAACCTTTAGTTG